GCCCAGGGACATGGCGTGGTCTGTGCTGCCTCCGTGGCTGAAAGCAGTAAGGAGGTGGCACATTATCTGTGTGATTGGAGGGAACACAGTGAAATACCTTTAGTTCTAGCCATTCTTACAAGAAGCAGCCAAAAGCATTTGTAAATTAGTTTGTGAGCCACAGAGAGTAGATAAAAAGGTGTTTTTAAAAACTGGCCCATTACAGAGAGGAAAAAAGAAAAAAATCTATGAAAGAGAATGAAGAAATACAGGGAGGGAGAAAAACAACCAAAACTCCTATGGTTTTAAGAAAACAGTGTTTATCCTATGCATAGTCCGAGTCCCAATGGGAGCTTTAAAGTGATTCTTTAGTCTGACACTTAATTTGGCTGGTATTGACTTTTCTTGGAAACATCCGTATAATTTCCTCTTGGCTTCTGGATCTGTGAACATGAGACCCCTTGGTCAGATTTAAAACCTCTAATTGCACTTTTCATTTTAAATCAATTCAAAAATAAAGCAGGCCAGACAGAAAGCTCCCAAACAAACAAGTAAATATTGATCATCCATTTAAAAGACGGAATTGGTTGAGGGGGTGGCAGCCAAACTTACAACAGGTTTATTTCCTTCTTTTATGGTGATCCAGTCTTCCCCATTGGAGCTAATGTCTATTCTGTAAGTCTTGACATAATATTTCTTCTTGGTTTCCTTTGAAATGGCACCCTGTGTCCCAACAGCAGTGACAAAACGCAAGAGGCCCAAGTCGACCTGCAAGACAATTACAAGTGTGGTCAGTCGCCATCCCTGAACACCTGTAAACTGGGCTCAACAGGGCCTCATTCCAGCTGGTATCAGCAACCCTTCATTCCCCATTCCATTCCTTCTAAAGAAAGGCAAAAATGTGATGCTAGCAATTGCCCTGAGTTGGTTCCATATTGTTAGGCCCTAAATGAGACTGGGGGTTTTGCCATTATTAAAGGTAATTAATAGCTCTTCTTTCACCTTTTCTCAGTTCCAGACTCAGAAGGAGAAAACAAAGGCCATGAATGCTCAAAGGAGGGACAAGGACACGTTCACTGGCTTCTTCCCAAACCCATAATTTCAAGTTACCTGGGTCTTTGCTACTATCCTTATCAACTTCCCTGTGTTTGACTCGGCCACCAGGGCAAGCTTTTAATTTCTGAGAAACAGTGAGTATGAATTCTCAAAAATCTTTTGATTAGTAAATCAGAGCAAGTGTAAATTCAAATAAACAGGCGAGCTGAGAAAAACATCTCAGTTCCGAATGTAACTCAGAGCGCCCAGGGACATGGCGTGGTCTGTGCTGCCTCCGTGGCTGAAAGCAGTAAGGAGGTGGCACATTATCTGTGTGATTGGAGGGAACACAGTGAAATACCTTTAGTTCTAGCCATTCTTACAAGAAGCAGCCAAAAGCATTTGTAAATTAGTTTGTGAGCCACAGAGAGTAGATAAAAAGGTGTTTTTAAAAACTGGCCCATTACAGAGAGGAAAAAAGAAAAAAATCTATGAAAGAGAATGAAGAAATACAGGGAGGGAGAAAAACAACCAAAACTCCTATGGTTTTAAGAAAACAGTGTTTATCCTATGCATAGTCCGAGTCCCAATGGGAGCTTTAAAGTGATTCTTTAGTCTGACACTTAATTTGGCTGGTATTGACTTTTCTTGGAAACATCCGTATAATTTCCTCTTGGCTTCTGGATCTGTGAACATGAGACCCCTTGGTCAGATTTAAAACCTCTAATTGCACTTTTCATTTTAAATCAATTCAAAAATAAAGCAGGCCAGACAGAAAGCTCCCAAACAAACAAGTAAATATTGATCATCCATTTAAAAGACGGAATTGGTTGAGGGGGTGGCAGCCAAACTTACAACAGGTTTATTTCCTTCTTTTATGGTGATCCAGTCTTCCCCATTGGAGCTAATGTCTATTCTGTAAGTCTTGACATAATATTTCTTCTTGGTTTCCTTTGAAATGGCACCCTGTGTCCCAACAGCAGTGACAAAACGCAAGAGGCCCAAGTCGACCTGCAAGACAATTACAAGTGTGGTCAGTCGCCATCCCTGAACACCTGTAAACTGGGCTCAACAGGGCCTCATTCCAGCTGGTATCAGCAACCCTTCATTCCCCATTCCATTCCTTCTAAAGAAAGGCAAAAATGTGATGCTAGCAATTGCCCTGAGTTGGTTCCCTATTGTTAGCAGAAAGGCCAGGAAGAGCCCTTTCTCATTGCTGCAACCAAGATTATTTCATCCTTGGTGCAAAAGAGAAAGTTGGGTTCAATATCATGTCATTATATTTCCCAAGAGATTAAACATACTTTCCAAACAGCACGTTAACATATATCATTTTATTTTATTTTATTTATTTATTTTTTTTCCTTTTTGTCCCTTTTCGTGACCGGCAACGGGATCGCAACCCTCGGTGTTGCGCCCGCACCTCGCTCAGCCAGTGAGCGGCCGGTCTGTATGTGGGATCTGAACCCTCGGCGGGAGCGCCGCCGCGCTCTCAAGCGGCGCACTGTAGCAGTGCACCACCGGGCCGGCCCAACATATATCATTTTATAAGTAGAAAATCAAGACAAACAAGATAACCTCATACATTGGATACTAGGGAGGCCTGGTCTAGAATTCATGTCTAACATGATCTTATTTCCCATCAACTCTCCAGCATCCTATTTCCTTCCAAACAAAATGAAGTCTAAAACATAACTTATTGGAAAGCACTAAGACTGTCATGGTTTGGGAAATGGGCTACAGATTTATAAGTGAGAATGGAGTGGCGAGGAGGAAGGCAAAGAAAGGATTTTTGTTTTGTCTTTAAATCTTCTCCTTCCCCAAATCTTCCCATGGCACCTCCTTGCAGTTCAGCTAGAGAGGCAGGATGGTGGATCCCAAGGTGTCATCTGGGAAGGACCAATGCCCCCATGCGACAACTGATAGGGGTTGTGAACTTCTACTGGTAAGTTTCCAGTGCAGAAGCTCCACAGTGGAACAGCCTCGCTTCATGTCTCATAGCCTCGAAGGGTGGGACACTTGGAGGGCATCATAGTAGTGATAACCAGAGGGTGACCACAGCCTCGAAGGTCTTGGATGATTTCATNATTCCATTCCTTCTAAAGAAAGGCAAAAATGTGATGCTAGCAATTGCCCTGAGTTGGTTCCATATTGTTAGCAGAGAGGCCAGGAAGAGCCCTTTCTCATTGCTGCAACCAAGATTATTTCATCCCTGGTGCAAAAGAGAAAGTTGGGTTCAATATCGTGTCATTATATTTTCCAAGAGATTAAACATACTTTCCAAACAGCACGTTAACATATATCATTTTATAAATAGAAAATCAAGACAAACAAGATAACCTCATACATTGGATACTAGGGAGGCCTGGACTAGAATTCATGTCTAACATGATCTTATTTCCCATCAACTCTCCAGCATCCTATTTCCTTCCAAACAAAATGAAGTCTAAAACATAACTTATCGGAAAGCACTAAGAGTGTCGTGGTTTGGGAAATGGGCTACAGATTTATAAGTGAGAATGGAGTGGCGAGGAGGAAGGCAAAGAAAGGATTTTTGTTTTGTCTTTAAATCTTCTCCTTCCCCAAATCTTCCCATGGCACCTCCTTGCAGTTCAGCTAGAGAGGCAGGATGGTGGATCCCAAGGTGTCATCTGGGAAGGACCAAGGCCCCCATGCGACAACTGATAGGGGTTGTGAACTTCTACTGGTAAGTTCCCAGTGCAGAAGCTCCACAGTGGAACAGCCTCGCTTCATGTCTCATAGCCTCGAAGGGTGGGACACTTGGAAGGCATCATAGTAGTGATAACCAGAGGGTGACCACAGCCTCGAAGGTCTTGGATGATTTCATCCCAGGGATCTGCAGTGGCTTGAGTCATTCCTATTGCCGTGTGATGTAAATGGGAAGGAACAGATCTAAGTTCAGTGTTCTAGTCCTGGCTCTGCCATCATCTTTAGGCTTCCAGTTCCTCATCTGTAGCATGAAGAAGTAGGACTAGATGACTTGGAAGGCCCTTTTCAGCTCTGACTTTCTGCAGTTGCTTCTTTCGTATGCCTTATAGATGCTTCCAGTAATGTAAAATTGGTTTGTTCTTTAACTTTATTTTCAACGTTAATAACTAAGAATAATCTCTCTCTCTTTTTTTTTTTGACCAGTAAGGGGATCTTAACCCTTGACTTGGTGTTGTCAGCACCACGCTCTCCCAAGTGAGCCACGGGCCGGCCCTATAATAATCTTAAAATGAAAGTCATTACTAGCTTCTACCTATTAGAAATATTTTCAGTTTCCTTTTATTAATACATTTGGTTTTTCCTTGTTTCCCTCTACCAATTATATGCCCAAGATTTTACAGAAACTTAGAAAAAATGAACAAAATATAGGATAAATATTTTTTAAAGAGCATAGAAAGTAAATACATATTACAACTGATTAGCTTGAGAAGATATTTCAACAATATACTGTTAAAATAAGATGCCATTTTCCTTGAAAACAGCAACAAAAGCAAAGCAAAACAAAATAAAACAAAAAACCCCAACCCTTCTTCCAACTTCTGAATTCTGCTACATGACAACCCAATTTTCAGAAAACAATATTTCAATTAACCCTCCAGTGCCGATAGGTCATGTACACCTAAGGAATTTCCACTTTATGCACAGCCTGCCTCATGAAGAATGACTATTGTCTTTCATGAATTACTTTTTTCCTGAAGGCCCTTGCAGTAGTTAAATCAGCACGTTACCAATTCATTTCAAAACTGAAGCAAGAGTTACATGCAGGAAAAACAGCGCATGGGAGCCAATTTGAAGTTCCACAATTCAACAATAGCAAATTTCATTTGGAAAGGATGGGGCACCATTCAGTGCAAAACAATCTTTATTTCATTTCCCTCACTTTAAAGATGTAAAGTTTATGCTCTGTATGGAACAAGACCTTAATAGAAATTAATATTTTAGGATAATAGCAGTAGATGTTTTAAATTTTAATTTAACAAATATTTACCCAACACATTTTTATCAAGTGTCTATACTTGTTAACTGGTATTTGCATTTTTTTCAAAAGTGAACTATGATACTTTGTATGACTTTTTTAAACTTCCCATCTCTTTTGGGTACAAATTTCAAAAAGGGAAGGTGATCAATGGTTGTCAGATTTAGAAAATAAAAATACAAGAAATTCGGTTAAGTTTGAATTTCAGGTAAAAGAAAAAAACAAATTTTTTTCTTTTTTTTTACAATAATTGTGTCCTATGCACTATTTGGGACACACTTGCACTTAAACTGATTTATTGCTTACTTAAAATTCAAATTTAACTGGGTGTACTGTATGTTAATCTGGCAACTCTAAACTCACTATATTCCAGACAAATAGGTGATTTTAAGTTGCTGCAAAAACTCTGATTTCACAATGCTGCAATCTGAAATTTAATGGGTACTTTAGACATGGCTGCACTGAACAATTTCAACTGTTTTCAAATGCTCTCAGAACACTTAGTGCTTTACCGACTGTCCAGTGAGTCATACCCAATGCCACATCCACTTTCAAGCTGAAGGGTCCTTAAAATCTTAAAGTCCAAGGGAGCATGAAGCAGAGCTATTACATAAACTTCCCGTCAAACTTACAGATGGCTCTTCAGTTTGGAAATGATTAAATTCTCAAGAGTGCATATTCAGCCTGAGCTGATTTCAAATAACTGTAGAACTTCATTCCCTGGATGTCCAATTTTTTTAATTTTGTTTTTTTGGGTAAGATTTAATAAGCAGGCAGGAAAGAAATTAATTGGTGGCCAAACAGAAAAATTTTAGGTGTTAGAAACAGCTGACTTTAGAGGAAGGAGCAATTGAATTAACTAGCACCCAACACAGGAAAGCATCTAAGGCTCTAGATACAAAGTCCCCCAAAGCATATGCATGAATAACTTGTAAAATAGAAAAGATGTTTTCTTTCTCAACAGCAATGAAATGCATTAGAAACTTCCCCTTGTTATTGCACAAGGTTTCTTGCTGTGCTTTAAAACTCTTATTTACCACACTGGGATCCTTCGAATTTTATTTAATTTTTCTTTCTAATATTACTGCCACTCGGTTTAGTAAGGATGGTTGACAAGTTCACAAAATGACTGGGGCTGGGACCTGAACTATTGCAATTAAAATCAGATGGTACCCAGATCGCTAACAAGACACAGCCTCCCTGGCACTGTGGAACTGTCACTGGCCGCACCAGGGCAGTTCTTTCCATGAGTCCTTTCTCTCTAAATACCTTTGGGGAATTCTCTAACAGTGACCTGCCCGTGATCCTCAAGAGCCTGAGAGAGTTTGGAAAGAGACAGAAGAGACAGACAACATCCTGCTTGATAAGAACCACTGCTTGCATTGCTGGTGTCTGTGTTGGGAGACCCAGAAAAACTTAATGCCTGGGTATTTATATCTGAAGAGCTCCAGAATATGTCATCCCCAAATTTGCCACTTTAGTATAAAGATTATTTTGAGCTACAGGCAATTGAGAATCAACAGATGTAAGAAAAGTTCTCTGCCCTCCCCCTTTCTGCCTCAAAAAAGGGGATATATTTCTCTTTATGAAGAGGACATAAATTTCTCCCCTCTCTTGTGCCAGGATGAGGAGAGTGACCTTTATTTCTGGAGACTGAGAGCACTGAAATGATCCTACATAAACAAACCTTACTAAAATAATGCTTGTTTCCCATTAATTCCCCTCATACATATACTAGTTACTTTTTCACAATTAATCAGCTCTAGAAGCCCAAGCCCACTTTCATTTGTAAAGTCACTTTCCCACAATTTATCATCCTTTGTTAAAGTGGTGTATAAGTGCCTGATTCTAACTGCTTCTTTGGGTTTTCACTTCTTTCCTGTGAAAGCCCTCTGAAGAGAAAACTA